TAGCATGAGGTCAGCCGCGAGGTTGGAGACTTACCTGTTTTCTCTCTCTCTCTCTCTCTCTCTCTCTCCCCCCCCCACTCTCTCTCACACGCACAAACAAATGCATACCATCGGCTACTCCCTCCCCCCCACCCAACCCTCTCTCCTCTCACACACAAATGCATACCTTTCGGCCACATGGGTGGGAGTACCTTGTTCAGTTTCCCGTAGGCGATAGCAAAGTCAGTGCCAAATCTATGCAACGTCGGCATCTTGTTGCGATTGAGGAGATGAAATTGCCCCCCTTCGTTGAAGACATCCGGTTGCGAATTCTTCAAATTGTAGATGAACTCCCCAACGCACCCAGCCGCAGAAAACTCCGCGGAAACATACGAGTCCGTTGCCTCCCGTGAAACCTGCACGAGAGCATGCTTCGGCGGATTAGACCTCCCACCACTCAATCACCCAAAAAAAGCCACCAAGACACGGCAGCACGAGACAGCGACACAAAGACGACGGAAAATCAGTCACAATCATGCAGGAGCGGAAGCATCAAACAAAAAATCTCATGGCACATTGTCAGGTGGGTGTTGGTACGATTACGTATAGACGTAAGATAAAACAATATTACGGAAGCCATGCACGAATTCCATAAGAGAGGGAGTACATTCCGCTTGCACGTGTCACACACATGTACATATGAAATCTAGATATATTCTATACAACAAAATACGCAGCACAGAAAAGAATACAAGACACAAACTACGATTTAGGTTTCCTACGCAACAAAAGAAACCAACCCAACCAACAATCACAAACACGTGCACGCGTTCGCACCTACTTTCTGCCGACCGTTGACAAACACAGGCCCATTCATAAATTGACAAAATTGACAGAAGGAAGCTAAAATCCCGCGTTACCCAGGAGGTCGATGAATCGCGTGGGCCGTACCTACCAATTTTACCGTACAATATCCAGACAAAACGCTAAATCACATGCAAATCCCAAACAATTGACCTAATTGACCTATTCTCAGCTCTGATTCCGTTGAATTTACCGTATGACATCCAGACAGCACGCTAAATCACATTACAAAAATCACACACGGTGTCCAACTTACGCTCAGCTCGGATTTTGCAGCCAGCAGTAAAGGAAACGATAAATTCAGATCACAACACGAAGCCCTATGGGGCCATGCAAAAACCCGACTCATTTAACGGAGGAATGCATGCACGTGCACTGTCTGAGTGAAAGGCTGGCGGGCTAGCTGACTCAGGACGCAGGAAGGCATGCACGTGCACTGTCTGACCAAGAGGCTGGCGGGCTGAAAAAAAATGGCGGCAACGCGCGCACTGTCTAAGCAACAGGCTGGCGGGCTGACTGAAAAAAAATGGCGGCATCGCTGGAAAAAAAAATCGCGGCATCGCTGAAAAAAAAGGGCGGCAACGCGCGCACTGTCTGAGCAAGAGGCTGGCAGGCTGACTGAAAAAAAAATGGCGGCAAGGCGCGGGCATTACTTACATATTTTTCGAATATGGAAAGACCTATGATTTACCAAAAATGGTGGCAGAATGGCATGGCGACAACCCAAGCAACATTTACGAAACAAAAACTTCCTTGCAAAGCAGAGGAAGACAGGCTGATCAAGAAGAGCAGTCCATCTCTGACAATGACTGACAGAAAATTCATAATCTTCGGTTTACCTTCACTATCACGCTCTCCCGCTGTGAGTTGCGCAGTTTCTCAATATCTCCTTCCTCCACATCCCACACCTCTGCAAGCACATCGTTCGTAAACCCGTGCAGAATACTACCCTGACGCCAACCTCCGCCCAAATCCTTTTTAGACCCTGCAAGCGCAAAGGACTGCCGTAGTCCAGTGCAGTGCAACAGCCATCAACAGCCATAGTAAACACACAAAGATAACCACTTAAAATTTAAATACGACGAGTCAATTGTTATCCCTTTGTAAACTCGTCATCCCTCAAATTGCCGGTACAATTTCCTCCACTGTTAACAACACACCAAATGAGAATCAATTTCAACAATCGAAACCACCGCGACTCTCTTAACTTCCATCATAATGCATAAAAATAATCAAAGAGCCTCAGGCTGAAGAACCGAAAAAGAAAGCCTGAAACCATGCACAATCAATCAAACCATGACACGAGAAACAAACGCAAACAAAGGATCAAAGAGCCTCAAGAACCAACAAAGAACGTCTGAAACCATGATCAGTCAATCAAAATACATGACACGAGAAACTCCCTGGCGCAGAAACTGCCAAAAACAACTTCGGTTCAAAAAAACTTTCAGATATCTGCGGCACAGTGTAGGATTACAATTCTCACCACCTACAGGTAGCAGCCCATTCGCAACGAACAAATAGATATCCCTTCACACGGTATGTGTCACTTATATGCGGCACGTTCCTGCATGCCTGCATAACAAGCCCAGTGATACTGACAAATGCACTTTTCCTCAGCACATTCCACTACATAACCTCTCCTTCTTTCAGTGACCGCCAGCAACATAACCTCTCCTACGTTCTTTCAGTGACCGCCAGCAACATAAACCTCCTACGTTCTTTCAGTGACCACCTCTCCTACGTTCTTTCAGTGACCGCCAGCAAATGCTCAGTAATACCACATTCCGGATTTAAAATACCGAGAGACACGCTGGTGCTTCTACGTTCTTTCAGAGGCCGCCAGCTAACAACCTTGCATTGTCCGTCATAACAATGGCTGTTGCACTACATGACCTCGGCTGTCGCGCTGCACACTCAAAATGCAGAATCCAGCAACCGCATACGTACCACTAGTATGTGAAATTCGAAAGTTCAGTCAACAGGCGAATAACATTCGACACACACCCGTCGCTGACCATCGACATTCCTTATCAACGTTCAGTAACAACCCGGGCTATTGTATTCCTCAGAGTCAGACTCTTTCCCATTGCCTACAGGCGTGTTACATCTCCTTCATCATAAACTTGAAAACGACTACTGCATTCCTCAAATCTCCCCGACTAATGCGTTAATCAAATCTCCCCGAATATTGCATTCCTCAAATCTCCCTCATCATTAACTTAAACCCCGGCTATTGCATTACGTCAAACTTCAACACTGCCTACAGGCGGTGTTACGTCCAATACAACACTTTCCCTCAGCATGAACTTTACCAAATATAAACACCCCTCAACATCAACTGTCCTTCAAACCGATCCAGCAGTATTATATCCAAAACTTTCCCTCAGCATAAACTCAGTATTATGTCCAATACAACACTTTCCCTCAGCATAAACTTTCCCAAATATAAACACCCCTCAACATCAACTGTCCTTGAAACCGATCCAGCTAGTCTTCGGACTTCCCGATCCACCTCGTCTTCGCGCTCGTAAGCGACCACACCCGAAACCTTACGAACTTCCAACTCGTCTTCGAACTTGAACTCATACGCGCCCACAGCCTAAGCGACCACAGCCCCAACCACACCCCCAACCTTACGAACTTATTGTCTTCGAACTTACGCGATCATAAGCGACCACACCCCCAACCTTACGAACTTCCCCTAAAACCGATCCAACCTGTCTTCGAACTTACGCGCTCATAAGCGACCACAACCCCGTCCTTACGAACTTACCAATCCAACCCGTCTTCGAACTTGGCGCTCATAAGCGACCACAGCCCCAACCACACCCCCAAGTTCCCCAACCTTACGAACTTCCCCTGAAACCGATCTAACTCATCTTCGAGCTAAACTTAAAAAGCAACCCCACCTCCAACCTCACGAGCGCGGTGGAACAGAGAACGGCAATGCGGACGACAGCACGGTGCGAACCCCATACCCATCGCAAACACCGTCTTTAGCGTTGGAAAACTGCCCTGTTCAGCCTACCCGCACTGACGTTCAGAAGTACGTACAACGCTCTGAAAAAATAAAAATCGTAATCAACAAGACCAATAGACATAGCGGGGACACTAACATGAATGAACTCCCTCGGAATGCAACTCCCTCATCGGGAAAGAAGTACACTTACACTCTCGTTGACTGGGAGACCCGCGTGTTCGGACAAATCCGCCACGAAGAACGTCCTGAACCGCTTCTCCTCATGATTACACGCCCAGCTGACCCATCCATGTGGTATCACTACCACATCACCCTCGCTGATCTTGCGAATCGCCGCAGGCACTCCCAATGGAGTCATCAGACCGACATAGGCCGAACCTGTCACGTCACTCACACCAACAAAAGTCACTCACACCAACAAACCGGGATAAATTGCCCACGCACACACCAGCTTAAACACTTTATCAACGAAAAAGACCGTGCCAATTGTGCACCGACCAACACATGATGTACTTCCCGGACACTTGCTCGACGAAAAAGACCGTGCCAATTGTGCACCGACCAAAACATGATGTATTTCCCGGACACTTGATCGACGAAAAAGACCGTGCCAATTGTGCACCGCCCCCCAACACGTGATGTATTTCCCGAACACACACGTACTAACAAGAGACGTGAGCTTCTTCCTCAATTCGGCATTCATTAAAGAATCTTCACTTTCATCCCTCATATAAAAAAAACATCCTCGTCGCTGGTCACAACTGAGCGATAGCATTTCACCCGCGAAAAGATGTACTGGCCACGCGTCACAATTAAGTAACGAACCGAGACCCATAATGTCAATAATACATGTTGAAGACCCATAATCTTGCTGCATGGAACACACGAAAATTCGTGATCCACGGAAAAAACTGCGATCATCCAACATAACAAACCGAGACCTCAATCTCAACCATTAATAATGCACATGAAAACGACGATACACGAGATACACGAGAAACTAAAAAAAAAAAACACTACGACAAAAGACAAAGCGGAACTAGTCGCATTCGATTCACCAAGACCCGCACGCAGCATGACAACTGCACTACCCAAACAACGCGCCGCGAGTCCGCGGCAACATGTCCTCCAAATCCACCAAGCGGAAACAATTAAACCGTACAAACACAACATGTCCGCCAATTCCACCAAGCGGAAAGAACTGTCTGTTCTAAAGCTTACAAACACAATATCCGCTCGCAAAGAATCCGTTCTCCAATGTGTCCGCTCACGCTCGCAGAGAATCAGATCTCCAATTCTCACCTTCAAGAACGTAGGCTATCTGCGGGGAATTCAAGTACGCAGGGAGTGCAAACCCGTTCTCTTCCAGCGTCATTTCACCAGCCAAGACGTGAGCACCATGCTTCGACAACTCTTCGAACGACGCGGACCACAAGGACAATGATCCGCCGTCTGTTTTCACCGCATCGCATGACCTCCGGTACTCGAACATGCCCTTCGATGTTTCAACTGCCTTCGCCATCGCCGGAACCACGTTGGCCAAGACGACAAGCCAACCACAGACCAGTGCGAGGATGCCGCGAACATAAGTTCGCGGCCCATTCCCGCTGACGCTAGCCATGATGATCGCAACCACAGAACTCGCTCGACCGCCTTCGAAGATACAGTCCGACAATGCTGGCAGCAACCAGCGATAACCGCTCCTGGAACAAGTCACCACTCGTTTCGTCGGCTCGTGGACTGCGATATCGGCTTTCGCTGGAAGGACTGACAAAACCTCCGACTCTACGCCGATGTTCGTCTCTACAATACAATCCGCTTCTTCATAACATACGGCTCCCTACTTTTATAGCGAGGGTCAGCTGGGTTCCACGGTCTTGACGAGACTGGCAGAAGTGCCTGCCACCCAGCCGCCGGACAGTCGGACAGTAGGACACCGTTGACCAACTGGCCGCTCAGTCGCTATATCCATGAACCCTTCAAATGCAGACCTGAGTTCGAGATCCGTGAATTTTTTATTTTTTTTTATCCGTGAATCAGATGACAGGAAGGCCGTCTTTTTCAGGAAGAAATAAACAGAGAAAGAAAGTCACCCTTGACCTGTGGGGTGGGGGCGCCCGGCGCCTTCAAGTTCGTGAGACTACGGGCCAGGTTCTCGCCCTGGTCACACCGGACTCAAAAAGGAGAGTGCGTTGTGGAAGGGCCTTCCCCGGCGAGTCGCCGACTGAATTTGGATGTTATTCTGGGCTGGTGCATTCCGGTACCGTCGTACGTCCATAATCTGATTGTTATTCTCTAAGTAAAGAATGCACCCGTCCAATCACTACTAGCCATTCCAGGAGGGTGCCGCTTCGGTTGACCAAGAGCCAAAGGACGTCTGCAAAAGGCCTTCGACTCAGTGGTTAGGGCACCGGTTGTCAATGTGCATTGCCGTCTGAGGTTGTGGGTTCAAAACTTCGCCTGTGCGCAGAAGACACTGGTGGGCATCTCTATAACATACTAAAGCAAGCAAAGGGTCTGGCGACATGGTCGGTCGCGGGCCCAACGGAAACCGCTTGGGACACCACGGTCGGGAGGAGGTGTCGACCGTCGCGGGGGGCAGGGAAAAGCGAAGCGGCCAAGGGGCGGAGAGCCGAGCCGACGCGGGGGAACCGGCAGGTAGGGACACAAAACCGAGGCGGGGGCCGTCCAGGGTAGGCCGGCGCAACGGAATTAGCTGTGGCTGGCGTGAAGGGGGACGCAAGGAATGGCTGGGCGGCGCGGGCGCAAAAACGGAAGCCGGCGGGGCGGCATGAGGCCAGCGCGCCCCCGCATCGGCAGGAGGTAGCGCGAAGGAGGGGAGGGTCGGAGTACGACGACCGAATCGTGCGCATTGGGAACGACGGGGGAGAGAGAGAGAGAGAGAGAGAGAGAGTACTTGGATCAATGAGAGA